AACACTTTCCATAATGACAAAATGCAGGTCATACACTTTGCAGACTTCTGATCTAGATGCAAAATATTAGCTTACAAAGTTCAGGCATGCGCAGAAAGCAAAATTTCAAGATTAAAAAAAATCAACATCTGCCAATTTTTTCAGCTGATTTTACATTAAATGGCGAGATTTGATTGCTTTATGCAGAAAAGCCCGTCTGCAGAGTATGGCAAAACTTGACAAGATCTTAAGCATGCCAGGGCCATTTTAAGGCCCTTATTTCTTATATATTGTTACAGGGACCGTGGAGGGGGAAGGTCTGGTGGGGCTATAGCCCGCCTACCACTTTTTTGCTGGGATTTATTATCTAGGGCTCCAGTTGACATGGAGAAAATTCCTGAAAATTATTGGACTTTGCCCTAAAAGGTGGACGGTTAGAGCCAGTTGTTTTCAACGAATTCTTGAGAACTATGCAGTTCTTATGGAAGAGTGGGATGTTTTCTTGTCTGAACGATTACAACCCGATGTGCGTTCAAGGATAATAGGATATAAGGCCTGAATGGAACGCTTTGACTTTTTCTTTAGTTTGCCTCTTGGAGAGTGGCTTTATTCCCACACTGATAATCTATCTAAAGATCTTCAGGGTGCTAAGGTTGCTGCTGTCAGTGGACAGCGCCTGGCAAATCTAACAAAGGAGACGCTCACAAAAATACCCACTAGTGATAAGAGCTTCAGCCATTTCTATGCTAATGTTTCCTGCAAGAGTGAAGGCCTTTTTGGTGAACCAACGCTTCCAAGAAAGCGATGCACTTCGGTCAGACTGGAGGTTGGCGCTGGTGCACCAAGATACCCCCAAACTGCCAAGGATCAATTTAGAAGGGTCTGTTATGAGGCTATTGATCTTATAGTCAGTGCTATTGATCAGCACTTAAATCCGGAAAGCAAAAGCTTCTATGCCCAGATGAAGACCTTTTTGATTAAAGCTGCTAATGGTGATGACTATGAGGAACAGTTCAAGTTTCTTGAAACATCACACAGGGAAGAAGTTGACACAGGGGTACTACCTATGCATGCCACTAAGTATTTTGGAAGTTATGTTAAAGGAGAAGACATCATGTTTTGATGAAATCCTGTCGGTGGTGTCAAAGTTTCCAGAACCAGAAAAGAAGCTAATTCAGGAAGTCCAAACTATCTGTAAGCTGCCTGCTGTAAATCCTGCAACCAGTGCTGCTGGCGAGCGTTCATTCTCACCTCAGTGTGCGGCATCTGAAAGACATGGTTTCCATGCAGGATGGGTGACCTTGCGGTGTTGAATGGTCACAAGCGACGAACAGACAGTATCTCTATGGCTACACAGGAGTTTGTTTCCCGCAATGAGAACCGGGAGAGAAACTTCAGCACTGCAGGCAACTTCAAAAAGTAGCAACTTTAGGAAGGTTTTTTTAGAATACTGGGTATATTGGATAGTATAACAGCTGAGGATGTTCATGTTATATTTGTTGAGGTGGTAAATAAGATGGTACGCAAATGCAAGATAATGGCAAAACACCAACCTGAATGTTTCCTTGTATTGGCCAGAGTTTATAGCCCTGATCACTTTAAAAAGGTCTCCGCAGTCCCCGTGTTAAAAAAACCAGCACCTACACCTGCCATACTCTGCAGACTGGCTGAAAAGTGGATTTTTCTCAAAAAGCTTGGAACTTTGCTTAAATAAATCAATAATTACGGCAATTATGCACCAAGATGGATAATTGGCCTTAAGAGAGAAAAATATTATCACCCTGAATTTCACACTTCAGATCGAGCTTTTGACCTTTCAGGTATGTTGCTTTAAAGTTTAATAAAGTATATGTTCACGTTCACTTACTTTATCTAGATTAAAATGGTCAGGTTTCAAGGTCACGAAAAAAAAAAAGCCATTAACATACAAGGCGTCTAGCGCATTCTTAATATTGTAATATAATATCTTCCGACCGTAAAAGAAAAAAAAGAACATGTGCGTTTGCATGAACTTAAAAAAGAACCAAGGTCACGAAAACAAAACTCACATTAACATGCGAGACGCAGAATATCAAGAAGACATGAGCGATTGCACGAACCAAATAAACAAAGCTGTTCTGCTTGTATGCCTTGTGTCGGTATACGTTTTTGCGCCTTGGCTGATGACACAGGCACAGTGAATACAGAGTTTGCACAGTTTGGTCTAACAAAGAAAGTTTATACGCTTAAACGTTAAAATAAGCAAAACACCTACGTAACCAAGCAAAGCGTGACTTGTATAGAGTATAAAATACCTTTTCGTGTCGATTTCTAATAGTAGCGCCCTTGTTTTTGCTGACTATATTGTGGAACGGTCTGGCTTGGAAGTGACCCCGATGATATTAACCAAACGATCGAAAAACACTCCATTTTGAGTGTTAGCTTAAATTGATTAAAATTAAAGCTTAAGACATAGTGTATTTAAGACTTCGAAACTTGAAGGGAACTTAATCATGAGCTTAAGCTTCAAGTTTATTTCGCTGAAAACAAATACTCCATATGGAAAGCCTCTAACTATAACCTTACGATACAAGCAATCAGCTGGTGTATGTGATATGAGAGACGAAAAAAAAAAGAATAAAACTTACCTTTCAGATGTTAGTGAACAGTATGTTTTACGCTGAATGAACAGGGTCGTGCAACGCGACCACTTGTTACTGACTAATCCCTGTCTGCGCTGATGTGATTAATACTCGAGCTTGGAACCCGAGCCTTGTGGCGTTCAGAGGGGGGAAGACTGAGATGGGTAGCCTTGGGTGTGGCTGCTGGTTGGGTGCTGGTATGCTAGACGGTGCCAATTCAAACTGAGGATACCGTTACACGGTACAAATCTTTTGATATCAGAGAAATATTATCTGGGTAATTACTTTCCAGTTAACTTAAAAATTTTGATAGCTTGACGAAGGTGGAGTGGGAGTAGCGTCCTACGTACTTGCCATTGTTAGCTAGCTGGGCTTCGTCACAGGTTCCCCAAAGAACGTCTGCGTGAGTTCTAGACTGAGAAAACAGCCGACATTTGGCGACGCCACCACTGGTTCATTTCGCGATGAAACCAGTGGCGGCATGGCATGTTATATCATTTTATCCGTGCAGTTTTTGCGAGCTTTATTATTCATTTAAAATATTTCGCCTTTTAATCACCCGTCTCAGGGTGCTTCTTCATAACCGCTGACCCTTTTCTCGTTTGGAAACGACGTTGCTCGATGGTATAATTTGCCTGAAAACGAGGCTGCTTGAGAACTTGAGAACACGGCTATCCCAAGACGAAATAACTGAATTCTGAGTAAAACTGCACTGAAGAATTACAAGAATATGCAAAACATATTGCTCGATGAATGTTATTTACTTTTTGACGGGCACCTGCAAGAAAAACATCTGTTTAGATCCTGAAACTGTGCCGAGAAATAGGCCGAAGGTTTGAAGAACGTCTACCAAGTGTTAGCTTGTTAAGACCCTGGAAATATTTTGAACAAGAAGCCGCTTACAGCGGAATTCAGTCTCGCTTGCTGGAAGATTAGATGGAGAAATGAAGAGGCGATTAATTCTGCACGAAACGAAACAGATTTACTCGCTAAATGTTTTTTACTTCCTACTTTATCGACGTAGATACTTTTTACTTGTTTCTGAGTTGATTTAGTACGCGTGTTAGCAACGACCGGAAATACGTCTGCGGTCGCAGGCTATACGCGTGTATAAATACACGAAAATTCAAAGGCCTCGATTCCAGAGAAATAACATCATTGCCAGATATCGAAAAAGTGATTTACATGGTACGTCTGTTCAATCATCGCCGAAAATAAATCATATGCTCATCACAAGTTAAGACTCATTTGCAGACAGTTTACAACACCCGACCATCGCAATTTGGCTAATTCAGATTCTTATTTTTTTTCGACCACGCAGTAGTGTTCACTTGCTCCAAAATAATCAACGCTTTCACGCGATAGAATTCGTGGACCGACACGTTTTCGAAAAGCTCTAAATTCAATCTTTCCTAAGCCTTCATGCGTGCTGCGCCACATGCGTGGCTTCCATCACGCAACGATTCTTAGTCCCAGTTTCCACGGTGTCCGCAAGGAACGCCTGGCATAATGACCCCCCATTTATGACCCAGAAACGACAAAAATGCCCGGGCGGGGGTACTTCCAGAAAAATTGGGTGGGGATGTGCGGCACGCTTCCTGAAACTCTTACCCTATAACAGACCAAGGTCTGTGATTTTCCCTACCCCAGACCTGATCAAAAATTTGATAACCTATTTCAGACCTGAAGCCCTGGAGCCCGGCGCGTGACCGGAGCGCGTGACAAGCTGTTACGGCACGTACACGGTAGTTGGCGCAAACATTAAAAGGAAAATGGTCTTATCGCCAAATGATGAAGAAGTAGCTAATTCTTCTAAAAAAACATACCCAATTCAAGACTAGAGTGAACAAACCATACCCTATTTCAGACCAAAACGGCTGAAAAAACATACCCTTTGGCGCCGCACATACCCATATAGCCTATATAAGGGACTCCCCCCCCCCCCCGGGGCGTAAAAAGCGTTGCAGATTATGAGTCTCCCAGCTTACGCAAGCAAGACTAATAATAAAACAATTAATGATCTGGGAGGCTGTTTTCCACCAAGGCCGATAACATTCTCCTTGATCTGCATAAGTACCACGCGCGCTCCGCAAAGTGGTGTTTAGCAAATAACCTCCGTGAGAAGTGAAAACCGCTTCCTCCGCAAAATGCGGAGGAAAAGATGGAGATCAAAAAGGAAATAAGACTATTCGTAGTCTGGACTACGGATGCTCTCTCGGTAAAAACCAACAGTTTTCCATTAAATCTTGAATTTGAAATTTATTTCCACTCTCACTTTCATTAAATGTACTAGTCCAGTTACTCTGGGAACTTCAATCTTCCCATATATGGGACAATACACAAAATATATAACATCGTTCGTTACGTCTCACACAAACAGTGAAACTGTGCTACATGACTGAGATATGACAAGTGGCAAGAAAGCCTCTTATAGATGGCAATAGGACAGCAGCTTACAGCTGTTTCGGGGAAAATTGTCGAAAAAAAAAGCAAAACCCACTTAAAAGCAAGACCGCAAGGTAATATGGGATTTTTTACGACGCCGCGACCACATGGCGAAGAGCCGCGTGTGACATGGATAAAAGAGGTGTTATAGGGTGTGAAGACAATGAGGTACTTGCCTTCATCAGGAACCGTGTGGAGCGTTATGCAACAAAATTTCCAGGTGATGGCAGAGTTTAATGCTAGCATTTCATCGAGCATCTTAGTGGGAACTCCACAGAATTCTTTTTACCGTGAAAATGGAAATTAAAACAGTGTTAAAACATTTTTCAAGAAAAAATGAACTTATTAAGTCCAAATTAAAAACTTCAAATGCCATCCTTAAACACGCCGTTTCGAGGATTATATGTTGCTGTATTAAAACAATAAACTTGTTATCTATATTGTTGTTATACTACATATTAACAAAAAAAGCCTCTGTATGATGAGTGTTTTCGAGCACTGGAGTGACTTTGGGCGGGAGAAGATAGAACATTCTAGTAGAAAAAATGAAGCATTAAAAAGAAAAAGAACATTTAAGTGGGGAACCAAAAGCATAAAGTACAAAAGCCTACCGAGGTAGCTGAAAGGCCTTAAAAAGTGCGGCCATACATGACCTGCATCCGCACAAACTGAACAAACTGACTCCCGAAATAACGCTGTCACTAAAAGCAGCTTATGACTTGTATGGTCAACCAGGAAATAAAGATACTTGTGTCCGAAAGTTCAATTAATAGATCAAAGGCTCAACTTATTAAAGTTTACGTACGCGATTTTGTCTTAACGAAGTTTTAGCTTGCATTAATCCATTTGATGACCGTCGAGAGATTTTAGAATGGCACTGAGTGGAAAGGGATTTGAAAATACCCATACTACTTTGCGATCTTGGCCTAAAGGGCTTTTGCTTGTTTTCCAACGTTTATAAAAATAGCTGTATTTCACAAGCAATCTAGTTTCTCACAGCCTGTGCGCCGCTACCAACAACACAAATAGTGCTGACCACTCTGCAAACGAAACTCAGACTCAAACTAATAAATAAATTGAGCTACACTCAAATTACACCCTAACAAATGCTGTACAAATAAAAATCTGCAACCTTACAAAAATAATCTGGTTAACTATAATTTTAGCTTTTTCCCACAGTCAGGGAAAAGAATGTCCAAAACCAATGTCCAAATTTTCCCTCGACGAGAAATGAAAATGTCTTTAAAACCTTTAGATTAAGTGTAAATTATCAAGACGCTAGTTCTCTTGACTCCTTTCCAAGTGCAATAAATGCTTTTGGAGAATTTCGCCTTTGGTCAACTCATGTTTATTCTAACTAACATATGATACGTTTCTTTCATAACCCTTAATTTACGTCCTCAATAAATAAATTTAACTTACGCACAACGCTACTATCTTATAGCTACACGAACAATATTTTGCTAGTGTAAAATTGCTACTGTAAACTTCAAAGTAAGGCTGTTGCGAGACAAGACGCGATAAAACTGCTCCATCCCTTCCTTGACTTGTCACCCTGCGTAAGCAAAGTACCCAGTCTTCATCGTTTTACAAATTGCTAAGCAATCAGATGGTATTTATTACGAAAATAAAATGCTATCGTTAAAAAGAGAGGTGCCAGTGTTTGTAAGATCAACCGTCCCTTCTGAGTTGCTGCTGCCATATTGTCTTTAAAAATTACGTGGCCTGGCAAAACCTATTTCTGTCATAAATAAACTGCACTAAATAATTTACAAAAACTGCCTATCACATTTCTTTTCTCCCCTAACTGCCTCCAGTGGTTATAACTACCACAGTTAGGAGATGCTTAGTCCATGTGAAAGTTTTTTTTTTTTGTAAATTTAGCTAATAATAATATTGGAAAAAAAAACCTCACTGCAGTTTCGAAAAACTTTTTCTCAAAGATCACCCCATATTTTCAGCCCCAAATGTCCATATTTTTCTGTCATGATCCAATCATATCGTGAATTTTTTCCTGTACTCTTGGTAATTGCGTGGATGCTTGCTCTATAAAAAGACTTCCCATGATGGAGTACAGTGTTGTTGTTAATTTACCAACCGAAGCCCGTATAGATGTGTTATTGCCTCCTGCACTTCCGTTACTTGACAAGCTAAGGAGATTCCACAACAAGGGCAGAACATGTCGTGTTATAACCTGAGGCTTCCGGCTGTACACAGTAGGACAAATACCTAACAGATAAAAACACGGTGAAGTGGGGAGCGATCATTTTTTTCAAAACAAATCATCAGTAATTCACAAGATGAAGGAAATCGCTTTAGCCTGCGTCTCTTGTCGCTGCCCTGAGCTAGGGACAACCTAGTGGCGAGAAAACAGAAGAGAGTGCAAGCTAAAATCACTTCGCATATCGGATCTTAATCATCATAAAACTTTGAGAACTTAAGTTTTGATTTTCTTCAAGAATTATTGCCATTTTAGAAGCTACATACCATCCAACACTCTACCCAGTGTTTCATCAGACATCCAGACACCTCGAAGTCAGTTTAAGCCCGGTTTCCACATGATCGCTAAGATCGCTGCGATCGCTGAGAAAAAAAAGGTTCAGCGATCGCAGCGATCGTAGCAATCAAATGGAAACCGGGCTTTAAACGGCTGGTCAGAAAATTGGGTGAAACACTGCGTGTCGTATTTGATTTTTTTACGAGAAAAGGCCTTCAGGGTTGAACTGAACTGTTTTACAACCCTCAGATTTCTTGTAACATGGTTGCTGCAAGACGTGTATGTGACATGCTCCTTGCGCTCTCTTATTTGTCTCGTCTCTTCCAGTTTATGTTAGATAAAAGGTCAGTCTGGGACAGCACAGTATACTCTGACATTTTCTTCAGACCAGGAATAGTACGTTTCTAAGGCGGAGGTCCTATTTTTTTTCTTGTTTAGCACTTTAGCTATGTAAGAAGAAACATTTCATTATAGTTAGATTTCGCAAGTGCAACGGTTATGAAGCCCTTTAGACTCCTTTGTTGTATGTTTTTGTTATCTTTTTTGGACCTGACCGTCTACAACGTTCAATAGCATTTTCCTATCATTCTGAACTTACTGACCAATAGAAACATCGCATTAATTTATTCAGTCACAATTTGTGAGCCAAAGGATTGTGCACGGTCAAGGAGCATCTGCAGCAGCAACTGCAGCATCGTTGTTTTTATCTTTGATGTTTGCTGGCTTTTAAAGCAAGTTTTCTCCACTAAATATGGTTTACATCAATAAAGACAAACAGCCAAGGGAACAATAACCATTTTGCAAGTGTGTCAGAAATTTTGGTCCATCCTTTCACACAAAATTAATTTGTGTTTTTAATACCTTTACAAAAAAAAACATCAACAAGAAAAAGTTTTCATACCTGCTAACTTCTCGATCATGATAGGTTTGACTCTGCCACTTCCGTATTGCGTTGTTGTGCAAAATGGTTGAACGAGGAGGCTGTTGTCTATAAACGAGAGCAACGTCAATCAAAACAAACGTAGCAACTGTTTATGGACGAACAAGACCGTGCATATGATTTGTTGGTAAAAGATGTACAAAGAAAAACATAAAATTGAACATTGGATTTGAATGTTAAGTGCTGACTAGCTTCTATCGTCAGATGTTTGAGTTCTAGCCACAATCGAAAGTTTAGGGTATACAATACAATACACAGTACCAAAGTAAGTGCTGCCCGACAGCTGAGCATTCACTCAAAGGAGTTCACCCGCACTCAGAAATATGATTTATGACGCCCTGCATCAGTGATTATGGAAATCAAAGCGGGAAGTTTTAGGCGAGAAATAAGAGCAAAAACACTGTTACCTATATTTTTAATCAGAGCATCTAGGGCTCCCACTGTAGTGGAAAAAATATTTGAGTTCTTGGATGCAAGATTAGACGTCAAGGCGCTCACCAACGGAGGAACAAGGGCCCCTGATTGATTAGCAAGACAGGGGAGGATCTTGGGAAGGCACTGCAGGGCGTGTAGATTCACCTGAGAAGGAAAACATTCAAACCTGAATTTTAACGAGCTATGGCGTCACGCCATTTGCTGTTTTTTTAAAAGCTTCATTGTGTCTTCGCATTAATTGATTTCTATTAAAATAATGGTCTGGTTTTGTTATTATTTAACACTATCTTTAGGCACTGAAACTGTTTGCTGTTTTCTGTTGCTACGGATGGCAAGGATGGGCATGAATTGAAACTTGCAACAATGCTATGCCTGTAAAAATCACCCAAAAAACTAATATGGTTAAGGCCCCCGACGACATTTGTTTGATAACTGTAAGGGAATGTTTTGTGCAGTCTGAGTAAAGGCACTAAGTAATAACTTCAGCACAGAATTGACCTCAAACAGTGATATCCTCGTGACGTCGCTTTTTAACGTGATTTCCTTTGTTTCATTCTTCTCAGCCTCGGAGCCAAGTGTGAATTTTAATTCGAAACCTTGACCATCGTTCCAGTTATGAATATATGTACGGACGTACCTTGCTGTTAGAATCTTGAAGTCGAGGAACGAATGCATCAAAAACCTGAAAAAATAAAGTTTACAAGTTTCTATACGATGAACATTGCGTTTACTTAGAAACTGAGGTGAGTTCCCAGATCACAACCCAACCCAAGTTGGTCCACGCTAAACCTACACAGCATAGATATTTCGTGCAACAATTTGTTGTCTGAATTTATGAATAGGGCAAACAAACAAACCTAAAAATATATATATATATATATTAAATAAATAATAAGGAGGAACGAAAGCATTTACCTCAATTTTTACCTTTACGGTTTTTTTAGAAAACGTATGGCAATTCCTTTAATTTAAGGTATACATATGTATGTACCTTGGTAAATTTAGGTCCCAGTCCATCTGGGTTGAGCTGTAGCAGATCAACAAACTGATCAACAGCGTGCTGCCTTTCCTTCCAGTCGTTCGCTTGTAAAGAGTTGATAATGTTTGGAATCACCTCTTCACCCTAAAAGCAAAAATATCGAGACAACTGTTGGCAAAAACTGAAAATATCAATCGCGTGATTTCTCTGCACAGGCCACTCACCTGAATCAGACCGTCACGGGCCACAGATTTACCACTCCGAGACGACTCTCTAGAGCTAAGGAAAAAATACGATATGTCAGGAAATCACAAAGACTAACAAGGAGTTTAACTTAACTGCTATTCAGAGTACCTGGAGTTTGATGACGGAGACATGGCCACAGATCCTCGCATTCCACCACTGCGCGAACCTCCGCCGCCGGATGCGGGCTTCCGCTGCCGGGCGGAAGATGAAAGGTCCGAGGGTGGATCACCAAGACCCTAAGTGGGTAAGAAAGACATGCAATTAGTTTGAGAACTAAAAAGCAATCATGAGAAGCATTACAGACAACTGCCTTTTACAGTGGTGGCCTTGAGAGTCACTGAAAGACTAATAGTAATCAGGAAGGAGATAACATTGAGAGATAATGAGACTACATTGGGTATAGGTTAAAGAAGGGATGATGTCGCAAAAACTAAACTTGTGAAATTATTGGATTGGCTAGCATATCCAGAAAAAAACAAGAAAACGCCCTCTTCCTAAAAATTTCCCTATTAGTGCAAGTTGGTGGGGTTACTATCCAAGCCCGTTTTACAGAGGGATTTGTATAGAGTCATCAGAGCATAATGGTGCTTATATCTCCTACCAATTCGCACTACATGTAACAGGCTGACGTTTGGCAAGAGAGCGCTTTTCATCTTGCTCTTTCTGGATATGCCAACCAATCCTATAACTCCACAAATTCGAATGTTTGTGGCGTCACATTTCCTCTACTCTATTGTATGACAAACGTTACCTTAGTCCTGAGATTTTCGACAGTATCACGCACATTCTTCTGTAGGTTGGACGGAACATATTTGGTCACGTTTTTGTCAAACTCTGGATGATCGTACATAATGTGAAGAATCTTACGTCCATAGTACCTGAAAAAAGAACAACATACTGTTACTTAACGCAAACAATTGTAAAAACTTGTTTTATATTTTAAGAATTGCCTTTGTTTGGTCCGAGGCCAATCTGTGTTACACAACAAAGAGTTTGAAAAGACTTTGTCTTGTAATGTAGCTGGAGAAGTTCCTCAACTATTGGCTCGTTCGATATCAAATGAAATATAATAATGAAATACCCTCCCAAACAAACGTTCTTAGGGCTTCGTCACGAGTGAGAAGAAGCGCGTTACAAAGCCCTAAGAACATCTTAGGATGATAGTCCACTGTTTCCAGCAAATGCTTACCGACAAATGCCGGTTTCACTCCGGACAGAGAGATAGAACATTTACTTTAAGTGTGAAGGTATTTCGCCCAAAGGGGACTAATTGGAGACACTAAATAAACCATGCTACTAAAATGCTAAAAACCAAAGTCACTATTTACAAAGCTAAAATACTTAATAAAAATTTAAACTGTTGTCTATTCGATACAAAGTTTGCAGCAGTTACTGTTATTGAAAAGATATTCTGAAAAGTTGCGTTTTCGTTCCAAAACTAGCTGCAACGGGATTCTCTTTGATTTTTACTCAGTTTGAACCATAAGAAAGGTCCTATGTTAGCGTGTGGCATTAAAACGGATGTGGATCTACAAACGTGTTGTGTAAGAAATCAATTCAATGGAGATTAACAGTACAATGGCTTATATACTGTACCTTGTTTCCGGTCCTCCGTCAGTAACAAACTGAGCAGCAGTTGGTAATATTCTCTCAGTAACATCCTTTGCACCACTCATAAGGCGACTTGTTCCCATGCGTTCTGCCAGCAAGCTCAAGAACTGGGCAGTGGTTTTACGAACAGCAACATTGCGATGACTATAAGACAACAACATGGAAAGAAGTAGGTAGATGTAGTTTAAGGTATAAAGGACCACTAATGTGGAACAGTCACCCCAATGATCTAAACGAACTTGAAAATGCACAGACCTTCAAGCTTAGCCTGCAAAAAGGCCTGGAACATTATTAATAAAATCAACTTCCAGAAAGAGGATGCTGTCACTATCAACAAAAAGGAAAGATTTTTATACTTTGTGGCTGTATCCTATTATGTTCTAATCATGTATTTAATTATTCACTTATTTATCATAGAATTATAAAATCTACATAGGACCGTTTATATAGGAAGTATTTGTATTTGTAAGCAGGGTTTTATTGTATTTTATTGTATTATTTGTATTTGTAAGTAGGATTTTCTGGGTTTTTTTTGGCAAGTCCACATCAGATTTCTAGCTGTCAAACTCTTAACCTGCTTAAAAATAAATCATGTATAAAAGTATGTATGTATGTGCCGAGGGGGGAGGGGCGTGGATTCTCTTGTTCTCTGAAGTTACCCTATTTGAGAACAATGTCTCGACAATTTGTCGCCAATTGTAGCTTCAACTGGTCAGCCAAGGAAGATCAACCAGTCAAGAACCCGAAACAAATATAATGTGGTCCACGCCGGTAAAGTGCGGGAAACACGCGCCACAAATTATCCTTGGTTTCGGTCTACTTTTGATTGGGTCAAAAAGGCGCGTAATTTATTTCAGCCAATCACAAAGCTGTTCGAACCACAACCAAATAAGCTACAAAACTGTTCTTGACGTTCCACTGAAAAGAACAGTTTTTGTATTATAACTTGATAGCATAATGCCCAACTAAGACTCACAAAATCACAAGGAATTTTAGTTCAAGAACAAACCTTGCTCCTCCGGAAATAAGCGCGACCATCACACGTGTGGGAGTAAGTGAGCTGACCATAGCTGTAAGGGACTTTTCAACATCGTCTCTGATAAATCCACTTGATTCACCGCCTTTTGCTAAAAGAATTTTGGCAGTGACTTCCAGTTCCTGGAAAAAAGGCATCAAACAATTTGAAAGTCATAACGCTATTTCTACGCTATAGCGAAGAAATTATCAATGATCTTGTAGTGGTGATGACGTCATATACGTTGCGAGGTCTAATAACGATGAAAATAAGCTGGAGATCAAATTACACTGTCTCCACAAGCCTATAGCCCGAACACTTATTCTTCTCTAAACCCAGTTTAAACTGATCTTAGAAAGTTTTTACAAAGACTGGCAACAAAAGATAATACCACGCAAACATACTGCTGATGAAGTGCCATTTGAATGGAAACAACATTGGAATTTCAAGTTTCATTTCCAGTCAACTATTAGAACTGCAGTTTTTTGTGGCCATAATTAATAATGAGTATGGGAGAGTTAAAAAGACTCATACAAATGCAAATAGGATAGCTCACTTACATTGTCCATGTTTTTTCCGAGTGTCGTGTACATGTCACCAAGGCAGCAAATACCAGAACGAGAAACTTGTGATCGAAGATTCTTCACCTGTTAATCAACAACCAATAATAAAATTTTTGACTAAAAACAGAGAATTGAGGGTTGAATAGAGACAAAGCTGCAACATCTAATATGGACCCAGAGAGCATACTATAATGGGGCACATCACGGTTATTACATGGCGTACCTCTGCAATGACTGCTAGGGTTACAGCGTGTAGTTGGGAAATCAATACTTCAGGATGATGTTTACAAAGGCGACGAATTCCTTGAATCCCTTCACATTTCATCTCCCTGGTGGTAGCAGAAGAAAAATGTTATATTCTCTTCAATTCGTATCGTACCGCAATCCTTTCATTATTCTTTTGCATTTAAATCTGGTAATCTCAGTGACGTTTTATTATCAAAAGCCGTAATTTTCACTAAAAGTAGTACTCACCAATCTTCGGTATTTGCCAAATATTTGAGCGAATCTCGTAACGCATTTTCAGGATTATTAAAAGGTTGTAGCTCATCCAAACTAACTTCCCAGCACTGTGCTGCTGTACTACTACTTCCTGCTGAAGCTACGTAATGTCGCCGGAGCTCTGATGGGTCGTCTGTTACCGCATAACTGGAATCACGTTCAGACTGAGCTCTGAAAAACGAGGAAGTTAAAGATGATAAGCTGACTTTATCTTAAGAAGGTTGCACATGTAAAGCACTCCTAACGGACTAATAACCCTATGGTCCCCAAATTACTGATCAAATTGGAATTTGAAAACCCTGGTTTTCACTCCAAAAATAAACTTAACAAAAGCTGTACTCACGAAGAGACAGGCATTTTCTTCTTAGGCGTTCCACCAGCGGGCGGTTTCCTGTTTGACTTAAGCGAGGAATTGGATCCAGTTACAGACAGGCCTAGAGAAAATAGTTAAAACAATACAGAAGGTATCTTACATACCTGAAATAACTTGACAACTTAAACCGTCATTAACGTTTTTTTTTTTCAAAAACAACTGTAACAACATATATCAAAGAGAATTATAGTTGGCTGTACCAATATAGTGTTGAGTATTCTTCAGACCATTAACTCAAAATAGGTTAACTTACCATTCGCTTCTGATTCAGATTTTTGATTCTGTTTCCTCTTCAATTCAGCTTCCTTCTCAGCAAGTTTTCTCTTGATTTCCTCCTCTTGTTCTCTTTCCCTCAGTTCTGCCTCTGCCTTTAGACGCTCAGCTTCTTTCTCTTTTTGCTTCTGCCGCATTCTCTCCTTCATACGTTCCTTCTGACGTTCCTTTTCTCGCTGCTTTTCTTGTTCAATCTCCTCTAGTTCTTGTTGTTGTTTCATGAGCCGATCCCTCAGTGCTTTCTCCTGTTTCTGTAGCTCTTCTTGTAGTTGCTGTTGTTTCTTCCGCTCTGCTTCCCGCTCCTTCTCTTTCTTGTTAAGCATCTTGCCGAGCTCCAACTTTTCCTTCATTATCTTGTGCCTAAGTCGTTCTTCCTCCTCACGCTGAAGCTGCCATTGTTTAGAGCGATCCCTCTCCAGTTCTACTATCCTTTAATATTAATAAAAATACACAGCATCAACATAAAATAAATACCACTGACCCACACCACAATCTCAAATAGTCATAAAGTTGCACCGACGACTGAAGAACACCACAAAACTTTAAAAATTCTTACATTTTAGATACATTCGAAGTTTAGGGACAATAATACAATACATTAATCAAAGGGAATAACAACAGATGATTTAATGCAAGGAAAAATTGCTCGCCTTCCATAAAGACTGCAAAAAGTACCAAATAGTTTGCGTACATTCCAAAGCACTTAATGACCCTCGCATCTGGAGATCCAATTTGTTTTAGGGTAGGACCCCTTTAACCCCGACAACAGTCACACTCTCCCTTATATTTCATTAGTAACAGATTTCATTAGTAACAGTTAATATTTCTCTGAATTAGCTTTGGCCTAATACGCACCTTACTTATATTCAAAACCAACAACTTCTCGTATAAATAGCAAATGTTTTCCTGACTTAGCTAAGATGAACCTTTAAGTTTCATGCTTTTTGTGTCTTATTTAAAAGGCGTCCTGTTTTCCCCACCCACCTTATCTACACGCGAGGCTCTAGTATAAGCCTAACTGGCCCTAAACCTTGAACTGCTTTTCTACAGATCAGCTAACAGGCAGCTCTACCTCAATACAAATCACAAAAGAAATAACACAAATAAAACAAAGTTCTTCTTACCTTTCTTGTTCTCGCTGCATCCTGTCTTCCTCTTCTTGTCTCATTCTTTCCATCCTCTCTCGTGTTGATTTAGACAAGCTTTTTCTTGTTGTTTTTGGCGTCATATCACGTTGGTTTGCCATGTGATCTCTGACTTCAGAATCACTGTCTTCGTCGCTGTCTTCCAAACTATCCGAACTGTCATCTTCACTTTTAATTGTTGATGTTTCTGTTTCAGTAGCTGTCACTGTGGTAGTTGTTGTTTGTGAGGCGTCACTTTCTACCGAGTCTGACAGTGTTGGGTAAGCCTCCTCTTCACTCTCTGTCCCACTATCACCTTGTTCTGTTTCCTCTTCCTCATCTTCTTCTCTGTCTTGTTTTTCCTCCTCATCACTACTATCTTTTTCCTCTGCATCATCCTCTCCCTCTTCCTCCTCCGCTTCCTTCTCTTTATTATGGTCGTCATCATCATCATCCTCATCATCGTCCTCATCTGTGCTATCATCCAAACCTTCATCTGATTCCTCTGTTTCATACTGCAAATGACTGTTCTCAATACCTGCCCCCTTAAAAAATTAAACAAAAATAAGACCCCCTTAAGTAACATACACTCTTAATGACCAAGGTTTTTGAGGATATTTCATGTGTGCGGTGTCTAAATACTGGCAAGGACAACAGTTTTACTCATCCAAAGTGACTGACAATATTTCCCCAACTTATGCTGCTAATTTTTGTTGGTTGAGTATAGTACTCAGTGTTCCAGTATACCCTCTTATTGGTCGATTATGACACCTTCTGTCAACACTCGATCACTAGCGACGTTGATGAGGAATGCGATATAGCTGTTGCGAGACATATGTCATCGAGTCACGCGGACTTCGATAGTATTATAAACAACGCCATCGAACATCTCCCGTACGTCAAATCTCTTCGCGACGAGCAGAAAATTTGTTTAAAGAATCTTGTTGAAGGCAAAGATGTTTTCGCGATTCTTCCGACAGGCTTTGGAAAGAGTTTGATCTTTCAACTCTTTCCACGCATAATGAGCATCGTCAAAGAAACAGTTGGTGTGTCTGTTCAAACGATCATAGTTGTTACGCCGCTCGTAGCAATAATGAAAGACCAAGTCGAACAGCTCAAGCGAATTGCGATAAAAGCGACAGCCATAGGATTCGGAACGGAGGAAGGCATGGACGAACACGCTGCAAAGTGTGGAGAGTGTGAGATCGTTTATGGAAGTCCGGAAAGCTGGCTGTCAAAAGAATGGAGGACGGAGCTGCAAAGCGGTCAGCTTGGAAAGAATGTTGTCGCAATCGCTATTGACAAGGTTCATTCCATCACAGAATGGTAAGAGTTTGCTTAAAAATTTTCTGTTATTCCATGATCGTGCCAATTTTGTCACATTTTAGACCTGAACAATAATGATCGATTATTTAAACAAAGTCTAACTTTGACTGCTGTTTAGGACATTTGACAATTTTTTTCACAGAACCTACAAGACGCTGAAGGATGGATTTGCAATTCCTCTGCAGAAGGACAACCGGCCATTGAGACTCGAGCGAACATGAAAGAAATTGCGAGAGTGAAAGTGTCGTATTTCCCCGGGAAATTTACTTCCATTATGATTGACAAGTAAAACCACATTCTCGTCAAAATGTAGTTCATGTTACAGTTACGGGTTCGGCGGTATATTTGTGGGCGGATAGAGTCCCGTGAGAAAATGTATACAGGCATTCCCTTCCTTTTCCCGCCCTATTTTTTCCCTCGTCAATTTTTCACCGGCGCCCTAATTTTTTGCCCGCTCCCCACCATCCGAACGCCTGGAACAGGATACATTTAGTCTTAAGCTTATTTATGAACATTTCAGCTAAATGAAGTAACGCAAGACTTAATTTGCATTTGTAAACAAGAAACTTTTCACTGGTTTCATTGATAAATTCAAGTCAAACAGACAAAGATTTACCTGTTAAAGCTTTCGAACCGAATTTCATCACCTTCTTCGTGTATTTCAGCAAACGCTTGTTTGATTAATTGTGTTATACTACTACATGAGAAATTTCTGCAATTTGATTGGCTTAGAGCAGTGGTATTTCAGCCTAATTTGAAATATATACATGTGAAAATTACAAAACTATTGCGGGTAGTAGTATAAACAAATAATAGCATGATTTGTACGTGTTATTTGGCGTAAATACCACTCGTGATATTTCAAAATTGTCTCAAATTTCACTTGTCTAACGGCTCGTGAAATTATGTATAACAAATTCGAAATATCACTCATGGTATTTATGCCAAATATCCCTACAAATCATGCTATTACCTATACAAATTTTTTCGTTTGTAACGGCAGCAAACCAGGAAACTAGTTTCATGTCGCTTGCTAAGAGGAGCTGGAGGTGAATCAGTGAATAGCACTGGATATTGTGACTTTACGTAGCCAATCAGAGCACACAAAAAAAACTGTCCACTGTTTTAGTATATACTAAATATAATTAGCTAACAAAAATGTCATACCTCAAGCTGTTTATCCAGTCTTAACAATCCTTGGCCGACCACCTCAACCCCCAGCATGTCTTCATCATTTCCTGAAGGGCTGCTACCCACTCTTGAAGTTTTACTTTGTTTGTTGTCATCATCATGAACACCATTCTCCAGTGGAGAAACCTTTACAGCTTTCTGTCCCCCGGCAGGCAAGAGCCCATGTCCTGTAACACCAAGTCCTGGGTTCTCCATGTCTGAAAACTTATTAGTTAAAGGTGTTGGGCTTCGAAGTTGTACAGGAGTTTCTGCTGATCGACGCCTATGGATTGGTGTTCTTGCAATGCGTGGTCTATTGTCAAATGGAGATTCTGGCTTTGGTGGTGGTTTTGTTGTCCTAAAAATAAAACATAACATTGAGGAATACTGTTGCCTTGTGCAAAGCCATCTGTGCAGTATGTTGCTGTTAAGAGTAGAGCAGAAGTATCATAGTAACAATAGGAACCTTAAGATATAAGGACAGCGACGGCAGGGAAAACGTCACTTCATGTTGTTTCAATCTTCACTGTGATTATTCCAACTCACTTACTTTATTAAATGTATACAAACGCTCCTGGAACTGAATTTCTAAGAGCCTTATCTAAGTCTAGAAAGAGAAAGTCAATACTTGTTTACATCCTTCATAAAACATGAAACTAGACATTTTCACGTTGTAGTTGTGCAGTGACGGTAAAGAAGTATACCAAAAAGCATGATGCATGTGCAAAGTTGTTGTTTTCCTTACTAAACCTATTGCTTTTTTTGACATTCTTGTTGCCACCAATGTATCTTAGGGTCCCTAATGTCTCTTCTATATGGGAAAGAAGCACCCACTGAAGCAGAGGCTTGACACTTACTTTTGACACAACTTGCCATTGTGGAAAGTACAATGTAGATTTACAAATTTACTTTCCAAAGCAGATATTTCTTTTCCAGAATCAAAGGGAGCATATTTGTTACTTGCCATAACCATAAGTAAATTTTCCAAACAGAGCAATAGTGTTTTGCCTTGAGTGATTCACTTTTCATTGAAATTGGGGCGCCTTGCTCTTCAGCCATTGTTCCACCAATTTTTCAGTGCAGGGTGTGAATCAAAATCAGAGGGAGAGAAAGACCTTTATTTATTCATATCAGGGTATCATTTGGGGCCCTGATAAAAATTAAAATGATAAAACTGATAAAAACTATACAATTATCCTACAATTCTCTTAAAAATTAATAAATGTATACTAAAATTTAATCTTAAAATATTGACTTTTTACAGTTACAGTAAACATGAATAAAATCTTAAAACATTAAAAATTCAGCCTATTAAAAATTCCAGAACCATTCTAATAAAAGAGTTTTTTGCTAAGTCAGTTCCAATCCTTGGCAGGTGTAACATGTTCATTTGCCTTGTAATTTGATTGTGGACAGAACTGTTGAAAGTAAAATAGTTTTTTTTTAAATTGCAGGCATTGTCCTTTAATACACCTTTTGATGAGTTCATTAATATGGCTGACTCTTGTCTATTTACCAGAGATGGCCACTTAAGATAATCTAAAGCTCTGTCACTGTTGCTCATTTTTGAAACAATTTTAGCGGCACGTCTTTGAAGCCTCTCTAGTGACAAACTGTTGCCAATTCCGTAGCAGTTCCACACAGTGTCACAATAATCTATGATACAACGAATATAAGCTGTGTAAATGGAATTAGCATAGCCTGATGTAAGCCCTAGCATTCCCTATCATTTACCAGTTTGGGATAATACATACTTAACATGAGAATTCCAAGAAATATGTTCATCAAACACAAGTCCTAAATTCTTGAATTCAAAAACATGTTTAATGGGTCAGCCCTTAAACATTATACCAAAAACAGAAGGACCTTCTGTGGTAACTCTCAATAAACAGTCCAATACACATGTATGCCCACAACTTCAACTTCAACTTCATTTTTTTAAAAAAAACTCCAGAATGTGGCAGACCCTGTCACCCTAGTTTGCATTGGTGAACACTCTCTTCTACAAAGCTTTTGCATTAAGATCAAGAAAGTTACCACCATTCTTTATCATTATCTAACTACGCAAACTCTGACCGCCACTCTCTTTGAAATCGACGTCCAGTCTGCATCTTCCTTTTCTGTTCATATTTTTGTCATGACTTTTGCTGTTCTTTTTTTTCATAGCTACTGCAGAAAAAACCAATTGATGGACAACTCCTCTGTAAACGTGAAAACAAACTACTCAAAATGGCAGCGATGTTTCTCATCCCCAGTGCTACTTGACCCTCCATTGCATCATCCATTTTGTGCCTAGTCTTTCTATGCCAGGTAGGACGCATGCAGATTTTGTGGTTATTCTTGGCATTCCAAAAGGAAGTTCTTTTTAATAAGCCTTTTATATTATTAATCTATTTCTAAATGAATTAATTTTTTTTAGCTGGCTGTTTGAACCCCAAAAACTACTTTCCACACTGCAGAAAACCAGTTGCCTGATTGGGCAAGTATTCTTGGTCAACTGAATTTTTTTACTTTCCACTAAAGGTATCTTACTGACCCATGGTGAATGGTGAGTGTTGGTGTCTAGCTAGCCCTGACTGAAGTTTAGACTGTATTAAGTCATTAAGTGTAACAAACCTTGCAACATTTTCTATAATTCCTGAATTAAATGGCTCTCTATTATGATCTGAGGGTGATGGAGTTCGACTTCTTCCATCTTCGCCATCACTGATCACAGAATACATTTTCAAGGCTCGTTTGGTTTCTGCTTGCTTGTGAACTTGTTTAAGTAAATCCTGGGGAGGCAGATTTCCAGCCTACAAAAAATGTTAAATACACTCCTTCAGTTTCTTTGCCAACTAATGATCAGCTGCTGAAAAGTATGTTATTGAGTACATTCCTATAATGGTGTTAAATACATGAGTACCTCCCTGAAAATAAGTCAAACCTGTCTAAAAGTCAACCTTCCTTTTTCACTAGATTATTTTAATTTCTCAGTGTCTGTTTCAAAGTGTGGCTTTGTGAGATTTTATGATCTGAAAAGTTAATAACACAACAGGAAATTTATGCAAGTGCGGCAAATGTGGTGAGGCATAATAATTATGAAATAAAGATTGCAGTAATTATTATCAGTAGTTAGGTTGACTTAAGTGAGATACCAAGAGTCGGGTGTGGCGACATCTTTAAAGCTTACCCTGTGTTTAATACACACCTTATTTTCATGAAAACTTGTTTTAAAATTTGAGGTCCGTATTATACATGGAATCCTTTTTTTCTTGAGAAGTTGATGGTCATGTGCTTTACTGTATTTTTATTTGACCATAAACCATAACCTAATTTCAAACCTCGTGGGACTGGTTATGAGTGCCTGTATTATGGGACTATGAACATAAGGTCAACTTAGTCAGAAAGAGTTTTACAAAATCCTCAAGTTCTGTGTTTACTGTGCCAATATCAAACGAGAAACAGCCATTCAAAAACTCCAGAATGCAGTTACAAATATATAGATGTCTGAACAAACTATGTGTCTGGCAGTTAAATAAAACAGCCATATCTCCTTCAATATTGGCCCCAACAACAAGTTGTACATTTCTTAAATCTCAGTGTAACTAAAAAGGGGTGCACATTATAATATTATATGGGTGAATATGGTACACACCAATAAAGATAACAGCACTTTTCAAGTACTTTGTCATTTTCTACACAAGCCTACTGGTTCTTCCTCCACCAACCTACAATTTGCCCAAATACTTTTAGTAACAGCTGTCCACTGGCTTATCATAGGTTAAAACAGTTCTTTTAAGGTGGCTCCCTAGAGTATTTACTAATAACCCTAGCTATCTAGCATACATTACAGAACGAACTCTAGTTACTTTGTCTTTGCCATTTTGTTCATGAGATTCACCGCTAAGAATACCCATATAAGAAGGCTCCTTTATCATGTTTCATTTTCTGGATAAGGGCCGTTGCCATGACAACATCGCATCCTTACACAGGCAGTAATTTTGTCATTTTTGATCATTTTTTCTTAATATTTCTTATTTCCCTCGGTGAAATGTCTTAAAACTTTGCCACTTTATATTAACGATATTGCTTAACATTTTAAAATGGAAAAAACATGAGGTCGTTAAGAGGGTTTTGCCAATATTTTGAAATTTGTAATTTTTCTTAATGGAGGAGTTTAGCTCTTACAGATTTTAACAGAAATAGGAGAGTGCAAAGGTACTGCAACTGTTAAGAAATGAGGCCATTTTTAAAAAAATTTACCCAAGGAAACGCGAGAAATTCACGGTTAATTAACTACGTTGACGTCACAAAAATCCGAAAAACACGCGTGGTTCGGGTTCGTACGAGCAAAATACACGCGCCAGCCATCATGCCCCCATGCGCATAATGCACAAAGCTACTGAAAACATGTGGTTTCTTTGAAGAGTACCAAAGCCATTGTTTTGAAGCCGTTTATTAGTATTATTACGGTGATATCTCGCCAGGTGATAAAGGAGAGATAGCGGATTCAATTTTATACCTAACACAGGATGTTTTCTTCGAAGCACTTGACTATTGTAGCTAAAATCCGAACCGTGGTGGTCACTCGTGAGGATGGCGATCATCGGAAATGAAGACGGTGGTTGTGCAAGGATCGCAATAAGCCCTTCATTTCCTAATCTGCTTTACGCTGTTTGCAGATCTTCAAATGTCAGCCCACTCCCGGATACTTTTTTAACCTTGTTTTTCTTTAGGAATAATTTCGACAGCGAAGTTTTTCTTTAAAAGTCTGCTGTAAAAGATGGTGCCGATCTATAAATAGTGCATCATGTCCTCAGCTACACGCACAAGACCGTAGGTCTCGACGGACAACTATTGCTTTCATCAAGGGTTAATCGGTGAGTAAAAATTATTTCTCGCTGTTCAAAAACATTGTCCACTTTGACTATTTAACGTTTGTCTACTTTTGAAGCGAAAGAATTGATGTCTTTGGAAAATTTCTGCTTTGTTTTTACATACAATTTACTGTGATGGAGATCGATAGTGACTTGTAGCTGGTGTAACATTGTCTCCTCTCATAAATGTTTGACCTACACTAATCAAACTTTTTGCACAATGAGCTTCAATAGAAAGTTAATGAAGTTTTTTGGGGGGAATATTTCGAAACCGAGAGGCCATGTTTGTTTTAATTTGTGCGTGGACGTCGCGCTGATTTTAAAGCTCACGCCATACTAGTGCTCAGGCTGTGCACGGCCAATTTACTCTAGGGAGCCACCTTAAGTGCCATCAAAACATGTTAAACATATCCTTGCTACCTTGGAGCCTAGCAAACATCTGCCACAAATGAACCCTCTGTTTGAAATGATAGCTTTTTGCTATCAAGAAAATGTTGATAAGCATAGTACCTTGACAGGGGCCAACTGTGGAGGACGTGATGGAGTCAGTTCAAGGAAATCAATCCCACTTGACTGGATATCTGTCTTCTTGATTTCTCCCAGGTCTGTGGCTCGTAAGCCACGACTTTTGGATGCTGAACGAACAAGCTGGGGTTTTACATGAATTGGAGTCTGGGGAACATCTAGTAGAAAAGTAGAAACTTATAAGTATTCTGAATTACTGTATAAAAAGTTAAACTTTACCCAAAGTGTAAAAGAAAACTTGCAAAAATAATGCAATGATTACATGAACCGACACCTAGATTTAGTCCCTCCCATTCTTTAGTTATTTTTGTTTAAGTAATGGTCCGTGTAAGAGGCAGGCAGGGGAACGGCAAAAGCAATTAAAAGGTGCTAATTTTTAATCATTTATTTCCATTAAATCAAGTGTTCTGATTGGCGGAAATCCAAAAATTGCTAAAAAAAACAGTGAGAAACGTGACAAAATAACTTTTTTTAGCTTTATTTTCCCCATTCCCTTGCCATATGCCTCACAGCCAAGTTTCAGCATTGTTCCATGTTCTAGTTATTTTCGTTGTCATGCCGGATCAGGAGGAGATCGGAATAATTGTAGCATTAGAAATTGGAGTACAGCTAGGCATAAAAGGAGAAAGTGAAAGGTTTGTTGTTTTTACAAGGATGAATTTATTTCTCGAAGAGATTTAGAACACTTGAGCTTGAGATAAGCTTTTGCACCTCGTGCGCATTATGTGTTATTCATTTGTGTTTGCTATTTTTCGCAACTTCCACATTCCTTGTATCTTTACCCATCTCTCATTCGATTTCTTTTCCTCTCTAGACTACTTCATCAAGCGAAATGGAAGTTCACCACGCACCTGAAATTAAAATGACCAAACTGAAACTTGTGACAGAAGTTTGCATTTTGTACCCTTGAATTCTGCGACGGAAGCCGCTTAGGTATAATAAATAGCTGTCACTGGTGTTTGACTTTCTATTGGTACAGAAGATCAAGCGAGCATGACTGTAGCTTGCCTTTATGTTTAACAAGGATGAGAGAGATTGTAAGAAGGATTTTTATGGGGTAAATATCAAAACCTTGTAAGATCAGTAGCACACTACACATGTACAGATGCGTAACATGTTAAGAAAATATGAAAAATTCTAAAAAACTTCAAAATTCATTTAAAATCCTTTATTTGCAAAGAAACTGAACCTCTTTAACCAAATTACAACATTTTAGACCGTTTTAGCTCATTTTGACTTAATCGGAACAATTTCTGTAATACCCAGGATGCATTGCGGCTCTGCCCATTTCATGTTTGTTAACATTATTAGGTCTGTTTTCTTAATTTTTTCTCACAAAAATGTTCTTTTGAAAATAAAAGGAATGTAAGGACATAAATTTTCGTTTTGGCTTTGTTTTTATCATGTAAATAAAGTAAATTATGCAGACAATTGTAGCCCTAGAGTGTCACTAGAACCGCACGTGTACTGAACGTTTTATCACGTGTTTTCGATTTGTTGCATAACAATAAACTTATGGAAAGTTCTTGGGTGGTTACCAAGGTCATGGTGAAGCCTTCCTTCAAGTTAAAGCAAGTGAGATGGCGGAGAAAGTTTGCGAGGTTGATGCGTTTCTTTGAGATCGATGTTGCTGAATGTAACCTGAAACCTTCCATAAAACGTTTCAAAACACTTGGTATTCAGAAATTGCTTCTAGCGCACACAATTTCTTATATTTTTCCATGAAAATTGCTATTTACAAGTTGAGAATGAGTTGAGAATGACACATGAAAAAAAATTAGCGAGGTCAGTTTCATGCTTCGCGCGTGGAGACTGCTTGCATTTTGCCTTCCTTGCGAAAATCAGGTGCAAACATGGCACGTTTCAAAGTGTTTGGTAATCAGAAATTTGCTTCATTCTCTGGATGGTAAAGAGGAATTAGGCCAAAATTTTCAGGATTGACTGTTGAAAAGGTGAGCATTCCAGTTACTGAGGCTATTTTATCTTTGAAGCAATCTATATTTTGAAATGTTGGACGCATTGCTGATTTTGTGGAATTAAACGTACAGCGTGATGCTGGTACACTGGTTCAAGAAAGCTCATTTTTCTCAAAAACCACTTTTTCTGACAAAGTTTGACCTATACAGTTGAAATCTATAAATAATTTTGATTTATAAGGATACTAGTTCTGCTCAAATCTATTATGGTTAAAACATGAAATGTTACCAAAATGATAATTTGCTGCGTGTGAATGTTACGCATGACGGCCCGAATTATGTACATTTTTCTAAAAATAAATTTCTAGAAAATGTAAAATTCAATAAATATCCATGATTTTTGGCGGATCTGTAGTACAACATGTTGTTATTGTTTGCGCCAAGGGACAGCTTTGTAGCTGTAAATGTTGAGGATATAAATTATTGTAATTTATATATGCCAAATTTCGTTTGTACACGTGAACCGTGCTCCTGATCTAAACAGATAAACTGTAAGAGAGCTTTTTCTGAAACTTGATTCGCCGAACATGCAGGAATTTTTTCTACCTGGGTAACATCATCTTTTTTTCCAAATGCAGAACATTTAGATTTGATTTTGTGTACTTGTTGTTGTTCTGTATGGTCTATGCGTGACATTGGCGTGTTCACCAGATTCGCCACGTGAGAGTAAATTGCTGCCATTTATGATCATGGTTTTGACATTTCTTTCGTGAGAGCCGACGTAAATGTTGTTCACAATGTCGCTGATGGATGTAACACTGTGCTCATCTTCATGTAATTTCATATCACTTTAACTTCCTCAGGTTTGGCGCATAGAAAAGTTAATCTTTTACATTTTAGATATGTTATATTTTTCAACATAACAAAGCAATAGACGAAATAAAAAGTTGTTTGAATGAGTCTTGAGCNATTTGATTTTGTGTACTTGTTGTTGTTCTGTATGGTCTATGCGTGACATTGGCGTGTTCACCAGATTCGCCACGTGAGAGTAAATTGCTGCCATTTATGATCATGGTTTTGACATTTCTTTCGTGAGAGCCGACGTAAATGTTGTTCACAATGTCGCTGATGGATGTAACACTGTGCTCATCTTCATGTAATTTCATATCACTTTAACTTCCTCAGGTTTGGCGCATAGAAAAGTTAATCTTTTACATTTTAGATATGTTATATTTTTCAACATAACAAAGCAATAGACGAAATAAAAAGTTGTTTGAATGAGTCTTGAGCTATCTTAAGTCAGCTGATTTGGAAGAAAAAAAAACACCCAAAACATTACTTAACATTCAGTTATACCAAGCCCTTCATTAATCTTTTACATTTTAGATATGTTATATTTTTCAACATAACAAAGCAATAGACGAAATAAAAAGTTGTTGAATGGAATGAGTCTTAAGCTATCTTAATTCAACTCTAAAATTCAAATTTTGCGCTTTTCGCTGCATTGACCAATCAGATTTAATTTGATTAGAGAAATTAGCGCCTGGAAAATATCTGACGCTATCGCTACGGGCTATTGTTTTTCTGCCTGCTTCTTAGCTGGACCATTACTTAATCTCTATTATTATTCATTCAAAATACTTCCCCAATTCTGATTGGCTAAAAGCACATGCATAATTTGCCATAACCATTTACAGAAGACCAAATTTGGAAGAATTTTGTGTTTAACGAGGAAATAACATCAAAAATGCAGCCTTCTACAGGTTAATGCACTGTTAACCGAGAAGAACTGGAGACGAGGTTGAGTTGTTTTCGTTATGAAAACTAAAATGGCGGACACTTCACTCGTTTCAAGAGTAAGAACTACAGTTGGAACTAGGCAAAATAATGGCTAAAAACATAGCAAAAACAGAAAGAAGACAACTCGGAGAGCGACATCTGCTATTTGGAGAATATTTACGGAGCTGGACAAGACTAAATGTACAGTATCGAAGATAAACTGAACATTGATCCAGGTAAGCATGTTTTAGCTATGCTTTTAAAGTGCCCCTAACCCTTCAATTTGTTTTCTTTTGGTAGATTTCCATATCTTTCAGGACTACTTTTCGAAAATGAAGGCACTCTTGGCGATATTTTCACCTGTCGCTTGCATTAGTCCCCCACTACGCTAAATGTGTCCAAATATGGAACGTGACGTAAGAAAAGGACATCGTGCTACTTTTGTCAACTCTTTGCTTCTTGTGTCGGAAAACTCTTCAGAGGAGGACATGTTTTCATACAAATTGTAAGCTTAACAAATAATCTGTGATTGCACTATACTTTCAGTGTCCTTTTCTTACGTCACAGCTAAAAAAGTGTCAAATATCAGATGCTTCTCATTGGCCCGTTCCTAATGAGCCCATGAGACAAAAATTTGCCCAGCGGGGCTTATAGCACACAAAAGTTTAAAAATTTCGGTCACTTTTAGTGCTCTTAAAAAAAAAGGATTCAATTTTTCTGAAAAAATTTTTTGATAATGAGTTCTTGAAAGATATGGAAATCTACCAAAAGAAAAAAAATTGAAGGCTTGGGGTACTTTAAACTAGGCATTATTATGAATGAATAATAAAGTAATTAATGAATTCGGCTTTCGTAGGATATGAAGAATTAAGCAGATTTTGGAGGGTGTTATGCACCTCGGCCTTCGGCCTCTTTAGATAACACCCTCCTCGATCTGCTTAATTATTCATATCCTACTCAGCCTCATTCATTAATTGCTAATTAGGTTGAGACCTCTCTAAGCTTCAATAGTTTCAATGGAGTCCATCTAAGAAAGTGTGAAACAGCAATGGCATACCAGATTTCCTTGCTTCACCATCAGCCTGATCCAGTGATGAGTCTGTTTCAGCAGGAACAGCTGGTAAGAGACAGAACAGCTTGTTAACATGAGTCAAGCATTTAAGTATGTTTAATTCAATCAGATTGTGCTTGAAGCCAAAGAAAGCAGCAAACATCTGGTGCCGCCACAAATGGTTTTCAAACAAAATGGTATTTAAGGAAAGAGCGCAGGATTCCATACTGATGTTGTGTCACTACCCTGAACTGGGTTGAAAATTTCTTCAACCTATCAAAAGCACTATCCAGATTTAAGTAGTGACACATTGAGTTCAGAACCTGAAAAGTGTCAGCTTTTTTCTCCTGGTACACTTTTAGAACAAAGTCTACTGTTTTACTTCACCAATATTTTGTGCAGTGTGTTTATGTACTTACTGTGGGAGACTGGAGACAATCTACCAAAAGGCTTCATTTCTGACCAATCAGGCCAGGAGCTGGACAGTGACATTGGAAAAGATTTCCTCTGAGAGGAAGGAAATGGGTCTTCATCACCAGGTGAGAATGAACTTTGAAGTGTATATGGAGTAGGTGTGACAGACTGTGCAGAACGTAAAACAGCTTCTTTAGGTGTCTGTTCCCCAACTGCAGGTTCTGCACTGCTGGTAGCCTTTGATTTAGTGGTAATGGTTCCACGCTTGTAAAGTAAAGCATAACTGTTTGGAGCAGTTTGACTTAAGTGTGCCACAGGACTACCAATCTTGGATCTATCTTTCTTCACCTTAGCCCTGTGCATTTCAGCATAAGAGCTTGATGGTATATTTTCTGTAGACTTTGGGGTGTGGCGATCAGCCACTTGGTTGGCCCTTTGTACACTCATGGCATGGTATTTTTCTGCATAGGAGGAGGTTGTCAGCTTAGACTTGGGCATTGATGCTGCTCGTGGTTGTGTATTGGACTTCACAGGACGATCACTCACTATCTCAGTAGGGGCCCAAGAATGAAGCTTCACTGGTGGCCGCACTGGATCAATATTGTCAGCGATTGGCTAAAAAAATAAAATCACAGTTAACCTGAAATGTACCACATCCCTTTCATGCTTCCCACACACTCTTCTCGTTCCCAACAAAACAATACTGCCTTCAAAAGTGAACACTTTTGAGGGCACTTTAACAAGAGGATGTGATATTGAATTTTTAAATTTGTTCTTGAAAAATATTGCAAACTGCCAAACTTAAATTTATATATCTCAATAAAACACCCTCTTAATAGTGGAGAGCGCAAATTTTGCTCAAACCAGGGAAATTACTTTACTTAGAATAAATATGAGAATTCCAGTACACAAGCAGAGTAAAACCCAAAACAAGACCGAGCCAGATTTTTACTGTTGCTTGGCAAAAGCAGTTATGGTGGCCATCAAATATTTTAACTTCCTTTTCTCAACATTTCCTTAATCAGGCTGATATCCTAAACAACAGCAACAATAATAAATCTCCCTAGCTTATAAAGTGATTCTTTTGGGCACAGAAATTCTCTTTTTTGACTGAGCTTCACAAAAAATACAATACTTGCAATGTATCAAATTTTTCTTTTAAATTTTCACAACTCTACTTAACAGTTACATTTACTTTTCTATCTTACATAGAATGAAGGAAAATTAAGAGAAAAAATTGAAATATTAAGTAACTGTGGAATCACCCCATACAGAGCTGATAAACATTCATGCAAATAATGTTCACAAGTTTAAATGAAAACAAACCCAAGATTTAAAAAGCTGTAAACAAACCATATTGAGGGGAAATAAGTTTAAAAGTTAAAGTTTCAGCTTTTTTAAAATCTTAAAACCTGAAATCAAAATCAGAGAAAAAGCTTTTAAAAGAAGCAATGTAAAGTTCAAGTTTGTATGGAGCCTAGAAAGATATAGATCGATGCAGTTTATGTTCCACTGTATAGCCAATGACAGCGATAACCAACAAAAAATGTATGAAAATTTTTTACAGTTATCAGTGTAAAATAATCAACAAATCAGTCATCTTGGCAAAAAAGATATTTGTTACAGTTCGTGATTTGATGGATAAAATTATTTATCATTAACCATGTACTTTTTGCTGATTTTAAATAAAAGTAGCTTTGATGTAATACTAATTTTAGAGACAAGTAATTTCACAGAAAAGAAAGGTTTTTTGCCAGTTATTTACTCGTCCCACACAACACTAATTAATATTAGGGACATTATTCAAGAAATAACAATGGAAAGGGAAAATCAGCAGGGAAATGCTCCCACCGAGATATACAGTATACACAGCAATCAGCTTTGTCCAAAAGTCCATTTTCTTTGGCCCCTGGAGAAAATAAAATTTTCTGCTTTTTATTTTTTTCACTAATTCACATCTTCATGCCAATTAACAATCTAATTTAGGACTTGTACTGAAAAAAATGAAGACATACAAATTAAAGTGTCACGAAACCTAATCTCGAATATCTGGTTTACACTGTATTTACTAAATTATTGTCTCTCACAAAAGAACTCTAGATACAGTGTATACATGTATTTGACATTTCAGATTTTACATGCATGATGAACTACTCATTTCTACAACCACACTTTATTTTTGCTACTGTGTTAAAACTTCAATTTAAGCAACAATAATGCCACACAGTGAACAATAATACATAATAAATTATAATAAATTACTATTGTTAAGAAAGAAGAAAAAGGTGGTAAGTGCAACCAGGAAACAATGGTTCTGGAGCTGAAAACACTTTGTTGTTTGGTTAACTTATAATACCTGGTTTCCATCTCGACCCTGGTCACCTTCCCATGGTAATCGATTCTTTCCTGCACTAAAGAACCTTCGGGGGCTTGGTCCTGACATATTCCAAGAATCATTAAGTCCTGGAGTAGAGCGAGCTGTCCCAGAGGGATCTGCAGAACCTGTACCAGCTGTACCAGCTAATATCCAGTCAATATCAGCTCCACGTGGTGTATTGTTCTGGCCTCTTATTGTCCCAGATGAAGGCATAGGAACAGCATACTCCACCAAACCATCTCTATTTAAGCGGGGGAGTTGC